GGTGTAATGCAAAATGTTTATGCGGTTTAAGGTTCAAAAAACACATTATATTCCACATTCTGTACATTATTGTTTCTCCTCTATGCCCCGTCTTTCTGAAACACGTCGATTTTTACAAAGCTCATCAGGATGAGATGCAGCTAAACGAGCATCTCACGCAGCAGGGGTTCAGAAGTTCAGCACTGCAAACTGTGTTTTACTCTATTATTAGGCCTGGAATAGTGCACTTGACCTCATGTTACGCTCACGTCTCTCGGTCGGGAACAGCGTTACCCAAAAGCATCGCAAATCTACTCCACACACTCCTGTTTCTTGGAACAGCTGGCCTGCTTTCAATCTACAAATACCTGCTGTCTTAGCGCGGCTCACTGCTGCCTGTCCACTTCACTTTCAAGATCTTCGAGATTTCTGACTGTCTCGGGAGTCCAAGGCAAGGACATTTTTACAGTAACAACCGTGTTTTTGTTGAAATGAAACATGGACTCGGCTTGGCAGGAGAGACTGTTGAGTTGAATAACAGAGTTTGTTTGCAATGATTTTTCGAGGAATATTCAGGTTTTTGGCCTGGCGTTACTGACAGACCGCATAAAAAACTGAGCACCTTAAAAGAACATTAAAAATATAGCTTTAAAACCTGATGTCTGTGGTCTACTTGTATTTCAGTATCTCTGACTTTGTTTTCATAACACTTCTGCTCAATTCACCGGCTCGAAGTACTGTATTTTTTTTTTATATTTGCATTTTAAAGTCAACATATGATCAAAACTGACGATTCATCATTGCATGATATTCCAAATGTAAAAATCTGGTGCAACTCTACAATAACATCCCATGAACTAACAAAAAATAGACACTACAGGTGAAAGGGGTAAAGAATAATAACTAGTAAACTAATAAACATCACCATACTTGCCAGTTTGATTGCTTACATTACGTTTTCTCAAACATTATATTTATATATGCAAATGAGGCATAGCTAATTAGATTTAATTTGCATACATTTTCAAAACATTAATCTGAACACTGGGTAAAGACAGATTCTGAATTCATGTTTGATTTTGTTGATATATTAGAGTTTGGATTTCTCTTTTCATCACTCCATAAACCAGAAAATACTCTCAAAAGCTGTCCAAAAAAAAAAAAAATTGGATTTTTATTTTTTTGGGGGGGAATAAAATGTCAGGCAAATGTTATATGAACAAAGCCCTCAGTAAAAACCTTCAGAATATAGAGATAAATAAAACTGACAAGTTTTTCTGCCTGAGTTTGTTTCTTCATCAGGTTTGTAGAAATGTAGCATTGCATCAGTGTCTCAGCAATGGATGCTCTGCAGTGAATGGGTGCCGTCAGAATGAGAGACCAAACAGCTGATAAAAACATCACAATAATCCACAAGTAATCCACAGCACTCCAGTCCATCAGTTAACATCTGGAGAAGACAAAAGCTGAAACACATCCAGCATTAAGACGCTTTTAACTTCACCTTATTTCATTATATCATAGATGTTTTAGTGCCTGTTTCTAAAAGGACTTGTATTCTTGTGGTGTCAATTAATTCTGTTGTGATTCGATGGTCATGTGATATTTACAGGCTCAAAAATGGAGGTTTCTGAAATTAGTAAATATAGCAGCATTATTTGGCTACTTTGTTCTTACTTCAAAACGGGTAATAAATCACTGCATTTCTAATCAAATACAAAACATAAGCACGATGACTGTTTTCAAACAGGTTTCCTGAACACACCATTACTTACTGTTGGGATAATGAAGAAAATTATACATGCATCGTTTAGCCAATTACTCCTGTCATTTTCAGCAAAGTTAGCATGTTTTGACATTAATGGGAGCTACAAAATGCCTCAGATGTTTTTCAGTTTTCTCGCAGATAGATGTAACTGGTATTACCTGATTAAAAGCAACTGATCTGAAAAACTGTGTCAAGCATTGTATCACAAGGATTGCAGGGAAGGGATTTTGTTTACAAGGTATATAGTGTTTTCTCTTGTAAATAGGTTTCTGTGGAATATGTAAAGGTAGGATTTAAGCTAATTAGCTTATAAGCAACATTGAAGCAAATGAACAGTACATACAATACATTCAGTAGGGATCATGACATTTTGGCTGGAATCCTGGAACCTGCATTCACATTGCACGTAAGCTTGTTTATGCTCCTGAGAGAGTCGGGGTTTAATCCGACTGCTGACACAATGCAATATATATATAACTGCACATTTAATGGCATTTCTATATTTGCTTCCCTTGAATGTCATAAATTGATTTTGTGCATGCCTTGATTTGTGCTTACGTCTTTTGCTTTAAACGTCACACTGACTCCTCTGTGTGCATTAGTGCATGCTCATTAAATAATTTCAGACTGCTGTCAGTAACATGTGACATTATTTAAAATCAATGCACTAAAAAGTATAGAAAAGTGCAGAATGTTTCATCTCTCTTTCTCTCTTTTTGGTCCATTAAGATGCATTTCTTGACACAGTGCATTAAAATGTTTGAGATACTTCATGAAAACTGCATTATGCATGCCTCAAAAGTGCTATAGCATTAAATAACACAACTATCATTTTTCATGCTGTCATAACTTACACCTCTCTCGCTGTATACATGACGCATTAAAACCACCAATGCATTAAAAGAGTCATTTGTCAAATAATCGAATTAAATAATCACCTGTCATCATCTGGTCAAGTTTCACCAATGGTTTTATTAAGAAGCACTTTTACATAAAGCACTATAACCACTATTGCATTAAAAACCGCAATTGTCATAAAGAAGCTCCTCCTGACACAATGCATTAAGAAAATTCAACAGCCATTTGTCAAATAATCTAACTTCTATGTCAGCATCTCTCATGACTCCACCAATGTATTTTTATTAAGCAGCATTTTTACCAATGCATTTAAAGTGCAACTGCTGTATCAAACAATCTGACATCTCTCTCAGCATCAATGTATCAATGCAATTAATAAGAAGCATGTCTTGCATTAAGAAGCACATCCTGCATTAAAACCACCAACGCATTGAGAAAAATGCAACTGTCTGTCAGCATCAGTGTTTACCGAGAAGCAGTTTTGATGCAATGCACTACAAGCGCCGATGCATTCCAAAGTGGAGGTCAAATAATCTAACAAGCAGCATGTTGTTGTTTCTTTAATTGGCTCCAGTTACTGAGATATTTCAAGAAGCAATTCTTGACTTGATGCATTAAAAACACCAATGCATTAAAATTCATTGTTTATTAAATAATCATTTGTCAATTGTCTCAGCATCTCTCTCCCTCTTGGATGCAATGCACTACAAGCGCCGATGCATTCCAAAGTGGAGATGTCAAATAATCTAACAAGCAGCGTGTTGTTGTTTCTTTAATTGGCTCCAGTTACTGAGATATTTCAAGAAGCAATTCTCGACTTGATGCATTAAAAACACCAATGCATTAAAATTCATTGTTTATTAAATAATCATTTGTCAATTGTCTCAGCATCTCTCTCCCTCTTGTAACGTTTAATAAGAAACACGTCATGCATTAAGAAGCATTAAAACCAGCAATGCAACTGTCATGCCAAACGATCTAACATCCATCTCTCTGTCTTGATTTCACCATTGCAATAAGAAACATATTCTGACGTGATGAATTTAAACCACCAGTGCATTATGCAACTGTCATGTTAAACAATCTAACATTTGTCAGCATCGAGTGCTCACCCAGAAGCCACCAATGCAGAAACCACCAATGCATTAAAACATGTTCATCAAATAATCATGTCATGTCTCAGCATCAATCTCTCTCGGCTTCACGTCATGTTTAATAAAAAACACATCTTGCATTAAGCATTATGCATTAAGATCACCAATGCATTAAAAAAAATGCAACTGTCATGTCAAACGATCTAACATCTGAAGTAGTGCTCTCTGAAAAAACACGTTTGTGTGTTGCATTAAAACCACCAATGCATTAACAAATGCAACTGTTAAATCAAACAATTTAACATCTCTCTCGACAGTTGAACAAGTATTGCATTAAAAAGCATGTCACACATTAAAACCTGCAATTCAACTGTCTCAACTGTCATCATCTATCAATCTCTGTCTTGATTTCACCATTGCAATAAAAGCACGTCTTTACATGATGAATTTAAGAAACCAACGCATTAAAATAATGCAACTGTCATGTCAAACATTCTAACATCTCAGCATCTATCTCTCTCTATATTTCCTCGATTTCACAATTACAATTTTCATAAGAAACAAGTCTTGACAGGATGAATTTAAACTACCAATGCATTAATGCAACTGTCATGTCAAACGATCTAACATCTGAAGTAGTGTTCTCTGAGAAACATTTTAGTGTGTTGCATTAAAACCACCAATGCATTAAAAAAATGCAACTGTCTTGTCAAACGATCTAACATCTATGTCATCATCTATCAATCTCTGTCTTGATTTCACCATTGCAATAAAAAACATGTCTTTACATGATGAATTTAAACCACCAACGCATTGAAATAACGCAATTGTCATGTCAAACGATCTAACATCGGAAAGTAGCGTGCTCTGAGAAACATTTTTGTGTGTTGCATTAAAACCACTAATGCATTAAAAAATGCAACTGTTTTATATCTCTCGACAGTTTAACAAGCATGGCTTGCATTAAAACCAGCAATGCAACTGTCATGTCAAACGATCTAAGATCGGAAATAGCGTTCTCTGAGAAACCACCAACGCATTAAAAATGCAATTGTTACACCAAACAATTTAACATCTCTCTCGACAGTTTAACAACCCTTCTCTCATCTCATCACTCTATCTTTCCGTCGACTTCACCAAGTTCACGTCCTGACTCGACGAATCGGTTAAAATCATGTGTCACGTCAAACGTCTCTGTCAGCATCTAGCGTTCAGCGAGAGGATTATTTATTTATTTTTATTTTTGACGCGATGCATTACAAGCACCGATGCATTCTAAAGTGGAGCTGTCAAACCAGGAGAGTTGACGGGAGGTAATCCCCTCCATGCGAGGAGGCGGCACGGGTGCGGAGGCGTGTTGTTTTCCATTCAAATCCTTACTAGTCCTATAAAAAGCGGAACTCGGAGCTAGAAAGAAAGAGAGAGGTAGATAGAGAGAGAGAGAGGGAGAGAGACAGGGGGAAAGCGCGCAGAACGACACGGCTGTATCTGTGGAGATGGAGATGCTCCATGGATCCGCAGGTGTCCAAACGGCGCTGAAAAACGCCGCCGTGTGCGTAATGCTGCTTCCGCGCTTCCTTCTCGCCGCCGTGATGCTCTGGCTCCTGGATTTCTTGTGCATCCGGAGGAAGGTGCTCACGAAGATGCGAGAGAGCGACCTGAGCAGCCCCGACGATCCGCCGCTCTGCGTGTCCGACTCCAACAAGATGTTCACGCTGGAGTCGCTGCGCGCCGTGTGGTACGGCCACAAGCTGGACTTCTTCAAGACGGCGCATCTGGGCGGCGCGGCGCCCAACACCGAGGTGGTTCCGCTGGACAGCGCGTCGCGGAGAGGCGCGCAGCGGATCCTGGACTACGCCCGCGGGAGGAGACCCCTCATCCTGAACTTTGGGAGCTGCTCCTGACCGCCGTTCATGACGCGCCTCGCGGCGTTCCAACGCGTCGCGCGGCAGTACGCGGACATCGCGGACTCGCTGCTGGTGTATATCGAGGAAGCGCATCCTTCAGACGGCTGGGTGAGTTCCGACGCGCCTTACCAGATCCCTAGGCACCGCTGTCTGGAGGACAGACTCCGCGCCGCGGAGCTCATGAACCGCGAGGCGCAGGGGAGCGCCGTGGTCGTGGACACCATGGAGAACTCGTCTAACTCGGCGTACGGCGCCTATTTTGAGCGCCTCTACATACTGAAGGACGAGAAGGTCGTTTATCAAGGCGGCAGGGGTCCAGAAGGCTACCGGATTTCGGAGCTCAGAGACTGGCTGGAGCGCTACCGGAGCGATCTGGAAGCTTCTAAAGCGGCGGCGGTGGTGCACGTTTAAGGCGGATGGATGCACGGATGTTTTCTTTCTTGCCCCACTCTCCCCTGCTAAAAAAAAAATATAGACACCATCACAAAAAATTGTAATGGTCGTACTGGTTATATTAGCACACGTACGTCTGCAAGATGTATATGTTAATGATAAAGCATCTGCTGTGTACAAACCTCTGTAAGATGTCAGTTTTACATGCATTCTAAATTATAAACATCTTAAAGACATCTAATAGATGACATCTAAAAGGAAACGTCCTATAGACGTATTGCTGATAAGCAAATAGTCTAAAAAAAAAAACGTCTTGCAGATGTAAACAGACGTCTCCGTGATGTACGCGTGCTATCAGGGGATTGGGAGTTGTATTGGTTTTAATGGAAACAGTAATGGACCCTGTGGGTTTCTACTGGTAATTGGTCACCTTTTTATTGGTGGCTTGTTAAAAGCATTAAATCCTAATGGAATGTGTCCCAAAACACACTACAGAAACCCATTTTTAATGGTTCGAATGGTTAAAAGTTGATTGTTTGTAAGGGTATTTGTAGTGGAAACCATTTGAGTTTCTGTGATGGTTGCTATTGTTTTTTTTCAGCAGGGTCGTGTCCTTATCAAGTCCTTGGCTGCGTTTCAAAACGTACACTCTTAAAAAAATGGTGCTTACACTCTTAAAGCGAGACACTGCAGGTGAATAGGGTAAAAAAACCGAATAGTTATCGCCTTACTTACCCAGTTGATTACATTGATAATTGCAAACAATTTTTTTGTAATACAAGTTTTCTAAAATGTTAGGTTTAAATATGCAAATGAGACCTTGTTTAAAGAAATATGCGCTAATTTGCATACATTTCTAGTACAAAAAATCTAAGTCAGTTTTAAAAATTCTTGTTTAATTTTTTTGACATATTAGAGTCAAATGTTTTTACAGAGGGATCTCATTTTTGTCACTCCATAATTCAGAAAATACTTCGAACGGGCAGAAAACAATACACTTTCACAATTTGGGGCGGGAATAAAATGTTGTATATAATCAAGCAAATTACATATGAACAAAACCCGCTGTAAAAACCTTCAGGACAGGAATAAAAATGTAAAGTTTGGTGTGTGCGAGTGCTACTGAAGAGGAGATTTATGGCTTGGCATAGGAGAAAAACTCTGGCCTTTAAAAATATGTATAGTAATTGAAATCAATTGACACAAATAGATAAAGTGCTATAAAAGAAACACTTAACAGTGTCTTTCGGATGTTTTCTTTCCACTACAGTCTGAAAAAACACTATGAAAAACCAAAAATCCCAAAACTTGACAGGTGCATGAAAAAAACTGCAGTGTCTCTCCCCTTAAAAATAAAGGTTCTTTATTGGCATCAGTGGTTCCACAAAGAACCTTTACCATCCATAGAACCTTTTCATTCCACAAAAGCTTCTTTACAGTGGAAAAAGGTTCTTTAGATTATTGAAATGTTCTTCACACAAAGAAAAAAAATGTTTCTTTTAAGAACTGTTCATTGAAGGGTTCTTTGTGGAACCAAAACTGGTTCTTCTATGACATCACTGTGAAAATCCCCCTTTGGAAGCTTTATTTTTAAGAGTGTAAAAGGTTCTTCACAGCGAGGCCATAGAAGAACCATTTTTGGTTCCACAAAGAACCATTCAGTCAAAAAAACATCTCTTTCTTACCTTTTCACCACAAAGAAGCTTTCGTGAAACAGAAAGTGTGTTAAAGCTTCAGATGTTAAAGGTTCTTTATGGAACCATTGAGACAAAAAAAGGTTCTTCTATGGCATCACTGTGAAGCACCTTTATTTGTAAGAGTGTAGCGACTCGATGTATTTGAGAAAAGTTCCATTATAGCTTCTACAGATCGTTTCGGTCTACACTGTCTCAGCTACATTGAGATGTTCTTAAGAAGGTCTTGATGGAGCGTGCATTGAGCCAGGCTTTTCGGCCAGGGGTCCATGCACTGTAAAAGCGTTTTCTCAGGTAACCTAGAAATGAAAATGACATTAGGTTACACCAATGAAAGTATTTTTAAGAGTTGCACATTTTACTTTTTTACCGTGTGGACCCCTGGGGGCCCATGAAGGTACTCCAGGAGAAAACAGTTGGTGGATGGATGTTTTTCCAGCTCGATCTCGTGTCTTTATATTGAAGTCATTAGCTGTGTTCAAAACTCAGTGACTGTCTGTGCACTTTTTACACTGTACGTTTCTTTAGATCACATTAGGAATGCTGTAGATGCTAAATGGCTCTTTGGAAATTACCACTACAAAAAAAAAAAAAAAAAGGTTCTTGATGTTTCATTACAGGTTCAAGTGTTTTTTTTTAAACTAGCTTCAGGGTTTTCAACTGGCAGAGAAGAAATGCTGCTTAAACCATTTGAAAGCATGAACTAATGATGTGCTTAGAATTACAGTATGCTTATATTTGATATTTTATAAAGTGCTGTCATAAAAAAAAATAGCTTTCTATACTGGGTCTGTAAAGGTTGAAAACCCTTGAGCTACAGGATAAAACGCTCAGCTTAAACATGCGTTTTGTGCATCTAGATGCGCAGCTCGCCAGGTTTTGAACACAGCCGTCAAATCAGTGTCTTCAGCTGCTGCTACGGTCAAACACAATACTGCAAACGTCGGGTTTTAGTTTCACGCATACAGTTATCTAAACAGATGTTTATGTGACCGCATGATCACTCTGTTCTTTAGGCCTACTTGTTTCATGTCAATCCAACCTGGCATTTTATTTGAGATATTGCAGAAACGGTATATCTATCTATCTGAAACATATCCCGTTTTATTTTTGTATGGTATCTTTCCCTTGTGAGTGTGTGTGTGTGTGTGTGTGTGTGTGTGAGAGGCCAGGAGGCCCTTTCATTGTACTCTGGAGTTATTGTGAAGATCGGTTTTTAAAAGGATTTTAACCAGAAAACCGATACTGATGTAATTTGACACTAGAGTACAGGACAGAGAAATGGCCTCCAGACGTATTGCCAACTGTTGTTTTGTAAATGGTGTATATTTTATTGAACACTTTTTTAAAATAATTGGTAGAGCACTCTCTAAATCGGGCTTATCTGTAATCTCTAGGTGAGTTAGACGCCTCAGAAATGTCGTGTGAGATACGGCATTATTAATACATTCCTGCTGGAATAATTCATTTATTGACACGCAAGACAAACTATGCTTTTTTTTGTGGCTGTAAGAAACTTTTGCATTTCCAAACTATATTTTGTTTTACATGCCAAACGCATACATTATCTCTCATAAGTTTATACTTTTTTAGCTTTTGCATTAGGCATTGGGAAATTTTGAGCTTAAATATATTTAAAAATGCACATTTTAAAATTTAATTTCAAAAAGCAAACACACTAGCCATAATTTATAGTGTTTGTTAAGCCAAGCATCACTATGAATATTGCTGTAAATTAATATTTTAAATAAATGGTATAATATTAACACTTTTTTTATTTTAATAAATGGTAGAGCACCCTTTAAATAGGTTTTATCTATCATTTCTAGGTGAGTTAGACGCCTCAGAAGGGCCTTAAAATAAAAAAATGAACAGTCGTGTGAGATACGGCACAATAATACATTACTGACAGACAAATAATTGATGTATTTTATTGACATGCATGATAAATTAAGCATTTTTTTTTTTTTGTCCAAACTATATTTTGGTTTTCTTTTGACATTTTGACATGCCAAGCATACATTCTCTCTCATATTCCCTCTCATTATGTTTAATATTGCATTAGGCATTTGGAAATTTTGAGCTTATATTTTAAAATTAAATGTAATGACAAACACACTATTCATAATTAGGGATGTTTGTTAAGCCAAGCATCACTATTAATATTGCTGTCTTCTTAAAATAATTTTATATTTTAAATAAACTGTATATTTTGTTTTTCTTTGGACATTTTGACATGCAAACATACATTTTCTCTCATATTTCCTCTCATTACGTTCATAGGGCTGTAAAAGCAAAAACGTTTAGGCTATTTTCATTTTAAGCTTATATTTTTTTAAATGCATTTAAAAGTGCATATTTTAACATTTTATTTTAAAAAATCAAGCAAACTCTCCACAATAAGTGGCGTTTCTTAAGTCAAGCATCACTATTAATATCGCTCTCTTTTTTTAAATAAATTGTATAATATGAACTTTAAAAAAAAAAAAAAAAAATCAGTTTTATCTGTAATTTCTAGGTGAGTTAGACGTCTTAGGGCTGTAAAAACAAAACCCTTTAGGCTATTTTTATTTTGAGCTCATATTTTTTTCTAATGCAATTAAAAATGTACATTTTCAGGGAGCAAACACGTTATCCATAATTAGTGGTGTTTGTTAAGCATCACTATAATCATTGCTCGTGCAGATTTTACAGTTAAAAATCGACTTAACTCTTCGAATCTCAGGGTAGCGTAAGCTCTAGAGGAGCGTCTCTGGAGCTTTAACATGAGAAAGATGAGAGATCTTAGATATGGTCGTCTGTCTCCTGGAGTGAAAAACTGAAAGCTGTTAACAGGGTTTGACTGAGCCCAAGAGCGTGATGACCAACAGGGACATTTCACCGCTCACAAGCATCTGAACGTCTGCATGCAACACTACAGCAATGCATCGCTCAAGCCCCTGCATTACACCGTGAAGAGAAACACTTAAAACCCCCTGGAAAAAAATCACTGTAATGCACAGCCTTGAGTGAGTGATTGCAATTAAAGACAAAAAATTGTCACATTTATTAAAAATAATAATGCTTACAGTTTGTTTACAGTCGTCAAGCGATGCATTAAAATATAAAGTGTAATTGAAATATCTAAACTTTTTTTTTTTTTCATTTTGAAAGGTCATTGTGAAAGCAAACACAAAAATATTATAATCAGAACAAGAACACATTTATCATTTGTGTCCCTGCAGCACAAAAGCAGTGTTAAGTCGCTGGGGTATATTTGTAGCAATAGCCAACAATACATTGTATGGGTCAAAATTATCCATTTTTCTTTTATGCCAAAAATCATTAGGATATTAAGTAAAGATCATGTTCCATGAAGATATTTTGAAAATGTCCTACCGTAAATATATCAAAATTTTATTTTTGATTAGTAATATGCATTGCTAAGAACTTAATTTGAACAACTTTAAAGATGATTTTCTCAATATTTAGATTGTTTTGCACCCTC